AAAAATTTGTTTTTCCTGACAACTCTTACCTAGGGGAATACTCTCTGGGTAAGAAGGGCTTGGGGGGGTCAACATCCCCGCAGCCCCCCATGACCAGGCCTCAAGTGGAAAGGGGGCCTAATAAACCCAGGTTTTACTACGGGCTTGCACACAAACATAAAAACCCACCCCTGGGGTCGTAATGACTTTAGTCCTGTCCATGCCTTCTAGAAGACACCCCGGGGGTCACTGTTTTCCCCCCTTAAGGGGAGGCTTTTAAACGTCTTGGGCATTTGCACTTACTGTGTTGCCCCCTTGGGTTTGTAATTGAGTGGGATAGGAAAAGTTATAAGTTGAATAACCAGTGAGTCAGATGGAAACTAAACTGAGATGGCTACAAGGATTTTAAGAAAAATGTTCTATCTTGGGCAGAAAGTAGAACAAGCCAGATCAAGAGGTGGGAGGTTAAATACAATAACACTTTGGGAAACTGTCATTAATTTAAAAAGAAGGAGGCCCAAGAGCTGTTCTTGACTGGGTAAACACACAACACAAAACCAATACCTCACCTCCCGCCCAAAATAAGTCATGTGGCATGAAGAAAGCTTAGTCCCCCTGGGAGCCCCAAAAGACCTCTCCCTGAAGGGTTAAGAGGGGTCCCAGGATGATAGGGATGTCAGTGGTGTCACCCATTTCCTGTAAAACAAACAATAAATAAAAATTAATGAAATTTAAATGTTTTATTTTCCATGGAGGAACATAATTTAAAAATACTGCCATCCCTGGGGGTTGGTGGATGAAGAGGAGTCAAAAAGAGTAGAGTGTGAGATGGGGAAATAAACTACACTAAACAGTGAACTTTCAGCAAAAACGGCATCACTACGTTCCCCATAGAGAAAAGTTAAATCAAACAAAAACTGCCAAAAAAATATACACCAAAAAGCATGTAGAAATCCAGTTATAATCCCCTAATCTTACTTTTTTAAGGAGTGGGTTGGGTAACAGCAACCGCCCAGGGAGGTACTACCGTCCTGAAAGCGAGTGTAAAACGAAAGCCTGTAATATTTTTTTTCCCGAGGGTGGGGATTGCGGTGCCCTTTTTTCGTGCCCAAATTTTTCTGTTCATAAACAGAAAAGGTTTAGGTACGTCTTGTACTTTACTTACCTTAGGCCCCCCTTTACATATCAGTACAAGCATAATATATATAACCCCCCTCGGGTTTTTTTTATTTTCTCTAGTTCTTTTTTTCTGTTTTTTCCCTTACCTCAGGGGAAAAGGGGAAACAGAATTCTTCCTCCGAAGCCATGCGTGTTGTAAGAGGCAAACTAAAATGCCAGGGAAGGGGTGTCCCCCCTTCTTCGGGTTTTTAAATTACAAATTAAAAAGGAGAAACTTCGTTTTCCTTTTTGGGCCACCCCCCCTTCGGGGATCGGTGGTGTGTTGAAAAGAAAGAAAGAATCTTACTTAGTATTCAGAATACAAATGTGTTCAATGTTCATTCAGTGAAAAATAAATCATTGCTATTTTTTCACTCTTAACTGGTAAATTTTTATTGAAGACACAAATTTAAGGAAATATATCGACATATACCTACATATATGTGAAAATTTTATTCCAAAATGTTTCTGTATGCAGTAGGCTTCTTCATGACAGCAGCTGTATAATTACGGTTTAGCGTTCCCCCTTTTTTAAAATAATAAAAATAAAAATTAGACAGCAGAGATGTAAAAAAAGACATAATCGTCTCCCCCCTTAAAGACTTTTTTTGGGGGTGGTCAGCCCCTCACCCTAAAGCAAAGTTCTTTTTTGGTCTGGAACAATGTCTTGGGGGTTGATGGACTCTTACTTTTGTCTTTACATCTTTGCTGTTCTGCTGCCTCCTCTGCATTCTAATGGGAAACCTCTGTGTAGGCAAAATTTTTTTTAAAAAAAGATAACTAACTGTTGCTGTGTCTAATGGTCAACTTGTCTTAAAACACACTTGTGCAGAGCGGGGTT